AAACACTTACTCTGGTTCTCAGTCTTTTTCCTAGTGCCGGTTTGAAGTTCCTGCAGATTTCACTGAAAATCCGAGTTGGAGCTTTTACCTTCACTTATATATGTATCTTGTGTTGTTACCAATGAAAAGAAACTGTGTCTTCCCAGCAAGCTATGTGAAGGACGGGTTTCACACACACTTATCTCTCAGAACTGAGCATGTGGAAAAATGTTCTTTTATCTAGCACAAAGGGAATGGATTGCAGCATAAAAACTTACTCTGGTTTCTCATTTTGTTTCCTAGTGCCGGTTTGAAGTTCCTGCACTTTTCACTGTAGATTTGGAGCTTGTGCCTCCCCATATATACGTATGTATAGTAGATACCCACTAAAAAGAAATTTTGTGTTCCCATCAATCTAGGTGAAAGATGGCTTTTGCACACATTCATCTCTGAGAACTCTGCATGTGTGAGGTGTTCGTTCATCTAGAATAAATGGAGTGGTTTACAGAGAAACACTTTCTCTGTTTTCTTTGTATGTTTCCTAGTGCTGGTTACATTTTCATACAGTTTTCATTGTAAAACACAGTTGTATCTTGTACCTGCCCATATATATATGTAGTGTAGTTTCCCTAAAATAATAAACTGTGTTTTCCCAACAAGCTATGTGATTGACGGCTTTCCCATGAAATTAATTCCTGGGATTGGTCATGTGGAGGGACATTCGTTCATCTACCGCAAAGAGAATACGTATCACTAGGAATACTTATTGTGATATCTCAGTATGCTTCGCAGTGCCGGTTTGAAGTTTATGCAGTTTTCAGTGTAAAACTAATTTGCAGCTAGTACCTCCCCATATATTTGTATGTAGAGTAGTTCCCCACTCAAAACATTTGTCTGTAACCTACAAGATAACTGATATTTCACTTTTGCAGATTCAATTATCAGTATAGAGCATTAGGAGAGGGGTTCATTCATCTAGAATAAAGGGAATGAATTGCAGTAGAAACACTTACTGTGGTCTCTCAGTTTGTTTCCTAGTTCCGGGTTGAATTCCATGTAGTTTTCACGGCAAAACTGATTTGAAGCTTGTATCTCCCCATATATATATATGAAGAGTAGTTTCCCACTGAAAAGAATCTGTGTGTTCCCAACAAACTAGGTGATTTACGGGTTTCACACACACTTAAAGTTCAGAATGAGCATGTGGAGAGACTTTTGTTCATCTAACATAAGTGGATTTGGTTGCAGTAGAAACACTTACAATGGTTTCTCAGTATGTTTCTTAGTGCCGGTTTAAAGTTCTTGCAATTTTCACTGTAAAACCGAGTTGGAGCTAGAAACTCCACATATATATGTACGTAGTACAGTATACCATTTAAAAGAAATTGTGTGTTCCCAACAAACTACCAGAATGACCACTTTCACAAACAATTATCTCTCAGAATTGAACATGTGGAGAGAAGTTAGTTCATCTAGCATAAATGGAATGGTTTGCAGGAGAAACACTTACTCTGGTTTCTCAGTATGTTTCCTAGTGCCAGTTTGAAGTTCATGCAGTTTTCACTGTAAAACTGATTTGGAGCTATTACCTTTCTGTATATGTATGTAGTGTACTTCCCCACTCAAATGACACTGTGTGTTCCCAACAAGCTAGTTGATTGATGGCTTTCACACACACTTAACTCTCACTACTG